TCATTATAAGTTTATTTATTGATAGTATTAAGTATGTTAAAGTTTAGCCTCTAACTAAACAAAAGCAAAAAACGTATACAAATAAATTAGTGTTAATTTATCTCTTTATCTCGCATAGGCCGCACTTAATAAGGCTTAACTATTGTTAGGCCGAAAACAAATGGACTTAAGATTTCGGCGTCTGCGATTAGAAGTATTTTCTATTATTCTAGAAATCCTGTATTTAAAGAAGTACTGTTGCAGTAAAGATACTAATTTGTCTGTAAATGTTTTGCGGGTCTATGGTAGTTTTAACATGTTTCTTTTTGAAATCCGTAAACAAAACGTATTATATTAAAATTTTCATATTAATATGCATTTAATTGTATTAATTGAAGTTTATAGTTATGTCCACCATACCTAAAAATGTTGCCGTCAGTTGGCTCAGCTGTAAGACTGGGGGCTTATAAAGCTAAAATTAGGGTTCAATACATTCAGCTGTAAAAATTTTCGCGTTGTCACATATAATAAATTTCTTTTTTCAGTCTCGAAAAATGCATTTATTTTATCGGAAGGCTGGACATCACCTGGTTTTTAGCGTGCTCGCACTCAGCATTTTAGTGCCCGGATGAGAAAAAAAAAAGAGTAACAATCACATCGCACTATTAGAGATCAGAAAACGAAACCGTTGGCGATAGGTACTATTGAATATCTGCATTCCCTCTGGTTTATCACAGCAAAGTTAGGACAGCTGTAACTTTGCATTAAATTCTGAAATAATTGAACAATTTTTATTGGAAAATAGAATTTCGACGGTCAAAATGACCAGCAAAAAAAAAAAGTGTGTGTTATTGCAAAAAGCTACATCAAAGTATTTGCTGTATCCACGAAATCGAACGCCTGATTTAACCGGTGTAAATCCGAAGACTTGCCGCTATCTCACTTGAGAACCGAGAAAGAAAGTGTAAATATGGTTTTATATTTTTGAATGCACATGCAAATGTATTATTTATATCGCTGGTGTTTTATTCGTTTTACAGATGATCAGAGAAATATTATCTTGCACAATTCTAAACATATATTTGTATATATTTGTTCTTCTACTAATTTTTTTCTTAACTTTTTTTTTTTACATTCCCTGCAAGCGATTCTCATGTCCATCAGGAATTTGTTTTTGAGGTTAAGCATATATTTATAGCATATATAAATGGTTTGCAATCCACTTTGTAGATTCTAAGTTCAATCAGCCATTTTTTGTGACCTCTTAGGGTGTCTCTACAAAAATAAAGATTTGTTTAAAGGTTTCTTTTTCGAAAAAGATGGAATCCTCAATAGCCGCGGCATTTGAAATTCTTTTAAGCAGGATTAGAGTAAATTAATCTATGGTCGTAGTCAAATACATCTATCGAAAGGGTTTGACCTCGTGAGTTCAATACTGTAATTATATCTCAAATCGGTCAAGAAATGACGGAGCTATGAGCTAAAAGTTTGTATTAAAAAAACAAACAAACTCGAAGCCATTCTATGAGCCGCTATGCTGCGGATAAAAATACAAAGCAAATAGTAGTTTCACAAACCAAATATACAGTTTGATAATAAACAATTTATATCTGACTAATGATAAACGTGAGCTTCTATACCAATCTGTAAAATTTCCATGAAGACATCCCTTTTGTGTGTGTGATGAAAGAGTATGCATGTTGTTAAGCTCAAAGCTACACAATGAACTATCTGTGCTGTTCCCACCACTGGTATCGAAGCCTGTTTTTTAGCGTTATAAAGCCTTCAGACTTACCACACGATTTTACCATTATTAGCACGAAAAATGCCCCATTATGTACTTTTATAAATTCATAGCGCAATAAAATGTATAAATTTCACTGATAAATATTTATGGTACGAAATAAAACAAAGAAATAGAAAGCCAAAGTTTTCCTCTTCTAAACTAATAGCACGATATAAACCCATGTTTCAGTGTTACAAACTCATATCGCAACTAAAAAGGTTTATGAATAAGTGTTACAAACTCAAAGCTCGATAGAAAGCCCATTTTCACTGTTATTAACTCATGATTCAACTAGAAAGTTTGTGTTTTACTCGTAAATTCATGGTGTCACTAAAAAGTCCATTTCAGTGTTATAAACTCATGGCAAAACCATAAACGTTATATTTCACTGTTACAAACTCATGGCACAACTAGGAAACTTATGTTTCACGGTTACAAGTTTATAGCACAGTAGAAAGTTAATTTTTTTACTGTTATGTACTTAAGGCACAATTAGAAATCGTACGTTTCACTGTTACAAGTTGATGGCACGATAGGAAGCTCATTTTTCAGTGTTACAAACTGATGGCACGATAGGAAGCTCATTTTTCAGTGTTACAAACTGATGGCACGATAGAAAGTTCATGTTTCAGTGTTACAAACTGACGGCACAACTAGAAAGTTCATGTTTCAGTGTTACAAACTGATGGCACGATAGAAAGTTCATGTTTCAGTGTAACAAACTGACAGCACAACTAGAAAGTTCATGTTTCAGTGTTACAAACTGATGGCACGATAGAAAGTTCATGTTTCAGTGTTACAAACTGACGGCACAACTAGAAAGTTCATGTTTCAGTGTTACAAACTGACTGCACAACTAGAAAGTTCATGTTTTACTGTTACAAGCTGATGGCGCGATAGTAAGCTCATCTTTCAGTGTTACAAACTGATGGCACGATAGAAAGTTCATGTTTCAGTGTTACAAACTGACGGCACAACTAGAAAGTTCATGTTTCAGTGTTACAAACTGATGGCACAACTAGAAAGTTCATGTTTCAGTGTTACAAACTGATGGCACAACTAGAAAGTCTATCATTCACTGTTAGAAACTCGTCGCGTCGCTAAAAATCTCACATGTGTCATTACAGTTAACTTGTGTTGTTGTAGCGCGGATTTTTCACTACCACGAGCTCATGGTAAGACAGCACAGGTAAATTTTATTTACCATGACTTCATGAAACAACTAAAAGTACATATTTCTTTGCCATAGCTTTCTTGGTACAATCTGAAAGATCTTATTTAGTCGTTAAAACACATGGTAAAGTTAGAAAATATATGGTTCACTAAAATATATTCATAGCATGACTAGAAGGCTCATGCTTCACCGCTATAAACTTTTGGCAAAGCAAAAAATCATGTTTCAGTGGGTGAACTCATGATAAGACAACACTTTTCGCGTTTCACGGGTATAAACTCATTAGAAAATAACAAAAATCATGTTTCACTAACATAGTCATGAAAAAACAATACATTTCATTTTTCACTCAAGACACGACTAGAAAACTCGTTTCACGGGTATAAACTTATAGCAAAATAAAAGAGCTCATCAAGATATGACAAGAAAACTCATGTTTCACTGCTGTAAACTCATAAACAACAACAAAAAAGTTAGTATTTCGTTGGTATAAACTAATGCCGAGACGAAGCAACTGACGTTTCAGTGCTGTAAACTCATGGCAAAACTATGAAAACTTATTGTTGAGCGCTCAGCAGTGCAAGACGAAAAATATCTTGTTTTACTGTTGTAAACTAATGGTGAAATGAAACATCTTATATTTTACTGCTGTAAATTCATGGCACAACTTTCTGATATCCAACACATCAAAGCAGTTATGCTCACTAGTAAACGCAGTTTCTCGGATCTTGGGCTTGGTTGTGGATTTCCTTACAAGTTGTAACATATAGGTCACAAAGAATGATGCCAGACACAAGTTTACACAAAGTACAAGCGTATATTATCACTTCTTTCACAGTTAATAAAACACAATAAATAATACACTGAACAATAAATTTTAGGGTAAGTGATCGTGTGTGCGCGTGTGTGACAAGAGCTGAAGAAAAGAAGAAAATACGTATTGTTAATGCGTGTAAGTCCTCCTTCTAGTTAAAATGATTGAATTAACGTGAACACACGCTACATAAATACTAAAGACGTTCATAATTAGTGTGAACAAACACTACAAAATACTAAAGACGTTCATAATTTGTGTGAACGAAGCTACATAAATACTAAAGACGTTCATAATTAGTGTGAACAAACACTACAAAATACTAAAGACGTTCATAATTTGTGTGAACGAAGCTACAAAAATACTAAAGACGTTCATAATTAGCGTGAACAAACACTACAAAAATACTAAAGATGTTCGTACTAAACGTGAACAAATTCTACAAAAATACTAAAGACGTTCATAATTAGTGTGAATAAATACTACAATTACACTAAAAATGTTCATAATTAGTGTGGACAAACGCTACAGAAATACTAAAAACATTCATACTAAACGTGAACAAATGCTACCAAAATACTAAAGCTACTAAAACATTAAAGATGTTCACACTAAACATGAACAAATGCTACCAAAATACTAAAGCTACTAAAACATTAAAGATGTTCACACTAAAGTTGAACAAATGCTACCAAAATACTAAAGCTACTAAAACATTAAAGATGTTCACACTAAAGTTGAACAAATGGTACCAAAATACTAAAACATTAAAGATGTTCACACTAAACATGAACAAATGCTACCAAAATACTAAAGCTACTAAAACATTAAAGATGTTCACACTAAACATGAACAAATGCTACCAAAATACTAAAGCTACTAAAACATTAAAGATGTTCACACTAAACGTGAACAAATGCTACCAAAATACTAAAGCTACTAAAACAATAAAGATGTTCACACTAAACGTGAACAAATGGTACCAAAATACTAAAGCTACTAAAACATTAAAGATGTTCACACTAAACGTGAACAAATGCTACCAAAATACTGAAGCTACTAAAATATTAAAGATGTTCACACTAAACGTGAACAAATGCTACAAAAATACTAAAGCTACTAAAACATTAAAGATGTTCACATTAAACGTGAACAAATGCCACTACATTTTAAGTCTTGCTACTTTAAGACAACACGAGAACAACAACTTTAAGTGCATGAGTCGCTTCCACTCATAAAGAACTTACGTGAAAGTAGAAGTTTAAAGAAAACAAGGTAGAAACAGGAGGTTTCTCTTGAATACTTACAAAAACACAACTGTAAAAATACTAAAGGCAACTGGAAAAAAAACTGCTGAAAATCTGTGCAGTTCTGCTCTTCCTAGCCCCAAGGTTGTCTTAGATATATCGATAAACCCTCAAGTTTCTAACTAAAAAAAAAACAAAAAAAACGCTGATTGGTTCTTGTTAGAGATACTGACGTATGGCAGTGATGATCACTAGTGATACAACTATCATCTGATTCGCCAACAAGAATAAGAATAACTCAACTCGCTAGGTTGTCCCATTTTTTTCTTCTAACTTGTCTCGTGTATTTGATTCGAGCAGATGAAGATAAGAGTTGCACTTTGAACTTTGTTGTACATCTTATATTAATAATAAAAGTTATAAGGCTGGAGTCTTTTTTGTAGCATTAGGTATATTCACATTGACAGTGTTTTTGTTATGCATGTCAGTTCTTTTTTAAACATATATAACATGTACAGTGCTACCTAAGCTGCGCGTTCGGTGTCACTGATTTTGGTTGTTGACTGTCAAAGCCTATATTCGCCAATGATTGAATACATATCGCGTATTGCTCACTTTTTTGGAAAGGGCTTTTCCTCCAAACAAACACACATTATGCATCTGGTGTGATCCATATTTAAAAACACGTGCTTTATATATAACATAAGGTGTAGCCTCGTGCGTATGCCCACAATATGATGTATTGCGCATCAGTTTGGTCTTACCCTAAAACACATTGTTTAACTTTTGGTCTTACCCTAAAACACATTGTTTAACTTTTTTACAATCGAATACTTCTTTTTAAAATATGATGTTGTTGTTTGTAGTTATGCACAAAGCTACACAATGGGCTGTCTGTGCTCTGCCTACCACGGGTGTCGAAACCCGGTTTCTAGCGTTGTAAGTCCGCAGACATACCGGTGTACCACTGGGGGCTTTAAAATATGAACGAATAGTTTGATATAAATAATATACATACTACAGCAGACGTAATTCCTGATTTATTTTGTTGTTGACGAACAAGTGAAACGTCGAGTAATGTAGATACAGTGTTTCAAAAGTCACCGCATTTGTTGGAAAACACGGAGGGGGTAGAGGGGAGAGAAGTGTACGTTTTTGCCATACTTTGGAAATTTAGTTCTCCTACTATATGGTAGGTTTTGATTTTTGTTTTTTTACATTTAATCTATGATTGTTCCAAACTTTATATTAAAAGTGAAACGTTGTTTTCTGCTGATGTAGTTTAAGTAGGCCAATACCCCAGAAACAGCGTAAATCTTTGTCAATCTACCGTACGTTAATCATTTCTTACGATTTAAAGAAAAATATCTACATCATATTGAGAGTGAACAATTGACCTAATGTTGCAAATCTTCATTTACTATTAATGTATGAAATAGCTTTTTCTTTCTAAACTTCAAGCTCTTTTTTTTTCAGTCATATTGATAAAAAATAGTAGGTGGCTAACTGTAATGTATCCAGTTTTACAATATAAGGTAATTGCTTAGTGATATTTTTGCATCTTCTTGGGACTGCTTCCATCATGCTTGTTATTGGCCATTGACAGCTAGTCGCTTTGAAAACTTTAAACAAAATAATGGAAGCTTAACATTTTCAGTTTTTCTTGAACAGATTTTTATTCTTCATTCACTTGCCTTCTTCAACATTAGGCAATAGGTCGAACGACTTAACCTTTGCCCTCTTTTTGTTGTCGTTACCGTTGTTATTGAGCACTAGCAAGAGTGTTCGCATGAAAGAAATACTGCAATGTAAAAAACTCGCATTAATTTAAAGTTCCAAGCAGTACCTTAGTTGGAATAACCGTTGATTTAATGCAGGTGTGTTTCTGTTTATTAAGAAAGTATCTTTAATCCTCAGTTCTCTTTCATTACTGGCTCTCCAAACGAGCGTATAAAAGGGTATTTAAATGTTAAAACTAATCCAGTGTTGTGCAACATACACTTAAAATCTGTAATCAAAAATCTGTGTGTTTTACATAGCGTTTACAGCGTACTTTAAAATGTTTAGGTGGTCATCTCTGCCAGAAAATCAGATCAGACCTTTTCCTTAAAGGGTGTTGAACAAAGTCTGAAAGTCTTACTTCTAACTTAGACTGCGTTATCGCCCGATGATATGTGCGCCCATTCGAGCGCCACATATCGCTACTCAAGTTTATGCAAGATACGCATTTTTATCAGTGATGAAGAATAAGCGTGGCGGCAACAGTCCTTCGAAACTGCAAACTTTTACTTACCAGATTAACTGATATAGTAAATTGGAATATATATAATTTTCAGATATCCATTGTTTTTATTGATATATTTGAAAGAAAACTTAACGTTTAGAACTAAAAGCTAGTTGATAGTCACAGTAAATGGAGGTTTGCAGCAATATGCAAACATTTCAATTTCAATGGAATATCGCTACTTTGCATTCATGATGTCAGAAAAACACGTAGGTTCAAGAAGTCTTAATATACAATGATGAAAACCTTATAATCTGAGCGCTTTCGAAAGGTGGACCTTTCTTCTTCTGCTTAGATATATCATATAAATAATTAAAATACTGTACCTGAACAAAGATTTACTATTTGTACATTAGGAGTGTTGTCGTTTTAGTCATAAAATGTTTTTCAAAATATACCAGTTATGTTGAGGATCTTCTGCTTACAAAGTTGTAGAACAAGAAATTTGTACTCTTACAGTTTAACCATGCTTTTCAGTAAATCAAGACACACGGTAGTGTGTCGTGCAGCCAAAACAACCTGCTGCAGAACACACTATGTGTTATTAACAGTAGTGATAGTGTAGCGATTTTCAACCTTCTGTATCTCGGACTATGGTAATCCAAACAACACATATTTTCAGTGTATGTGCTCTACCGGATTCTTACTTCACATACCAAATTCCAAGACAATTCATTAAGAAATGCCTGAGATATAAAATCTCCAATTCTGACTGAGTTTCTTCCTTTTTTTTCTTTCGCACTAAAAGTATGGAACTTTATTTGATAGAAAAACATACTTAACTTTTAGTTTTACCCTCCGTCATGCCCAAAGTTAAACAGAAAACGCGGCCTACCGAACTAATGAATGATTATTGGTGTAAAATTCTTATCAATGCTATAAGTGTGGCTACCAGTTTGACCGCCAATTTTAATTTCATTCCTTTAAGTCGCACAATCAATCCTTTTTTGGCCGCACCTTCTTTTCACACCTAGGGTGTTTTTGATTAGATTTCTTTAAACAATGAGTAACAAGTACATAAATTTGACATTACAGGAAGCTTCGTTCAAAGGCGGTTTTACAACTTCTTCGAATATTTATCTTTCAAGATGAAAATATATATATATAACGATTTTTTAAACAACCTTTTAAATTCAACAAAAAAGGTAACTAGTCAAAAATACCCACCGCCAACTATTGGGCTATTCTAATCGAATTGTGGAGTTTGATCGTTACACTTATAACGTATCTATGATTTCAAAGTATGGAACGCGTTTTTGCACCAACGGGACGCGAATCATCGACTTTGTATTTTATTGAGGTATTTTGAAATTTACTTCAACTAGAAATAAAAAAGATGAAATAATATTTTCAAAATAAAGAAGAAACACGACGTTTCATTGATTTGATTCGATGTTGTCAAGTGTAAAGGGGAAGAAATTTATGACTAATACATAAATATTACTATCTGTGTTAGAATCAATCAGCCAATGAAAAACGAACGTCGTTTGGTGGGACTCGATCATTAACATGGGATATACTCATTTTGAAAACACATAACAGGGTACGTCTATGTTTATTGATGGTGAATGTATTATATATGTTATTATTAATTCTTCAAACTGTACTTTCGTTTTCCTGGTCAATTACACGGGCCTGCGATGGTCTTATTGTTTTGAAATATTTACATGTTCTACAGTAATTCCTGTACCCTGAATCCGAAAATTATATCCATTTGTCTCCATCACGTACAGATTTTTTTTCACAAAACGTCATAATGCAATACATAAAAGAAAGACCACAACAAGTAGTTTTGAGACTCAAAGACGTAGATTTCACAAAAAAATGAGGATGCATATTCGTTTGACATCAATGTTCTTCCCTTTTCTTCAGTTTGTTTGTATTTTTGTTAACAAACATAATAAAAATAATAATTTGATCTAAGTACGAGTTTTTTCTTCTTCCCGTTTTGTAAAAAATCCTTAGGTGATAGAAAAAAATGAAAATCCGTTATTAAAACCAAAACAACTTTTATGAAGGTTAAATTCGCAGGCCTGTGTTATTTGGTAGTTTATGTTATCACAAAATTTCCACATTTATAGCGGACGGTTAGGTTGAATGCATAGTAATAAAGAGTTCTGCAGTAGGAACTATTTTTTTTTAATTTATTTCGTCGCGACTGATTGGAGTAGGTCATCACCAGGTTATACTAGAGAATAGTTGAACAATGTTTACAATATTCAGTTACAATACAGTATCACATGAAAATTTAAATGCATTTTCTCATAGATGGCGCTATATTTTTTAATGGTTAAATAACAATGAAAATTATAATCATAAATAATATTCAACGTTAAACTGGTACACACTTAAAAACATTTTATTAGGCCTATCTATGGCCTTCAAAAACTTGACGACTCTACATGTTTCGACGTTACAA